AGGGAGCCGAGGGGCGAGAATGCCCCTCTGTGCCCGAGATGGGGGCGGTTTATTTGACACTTAATATTGAAGAGAGAGGTGAATCCAAAAGACTGGAGGACCAGGGGCACCTGGGAGGCTGAAATTTGGGTTACAAATCACACCCCAGGTGCTGTGGCTGTCAGTGTGTAAGCTTTAATCAGCAGGACAGGTGCCTAATTCAACAGGGTTGGCTGTCAACAGAATGGATCTGCCATTTGTTGAGAAAACTGCCACGCGGCTGATGGTCCGGATACTTGAATAATTCAAACAAGTCCCCCGCTTTGCGTTGAGGCTCTCGCTTACTGCACACCCACCGGGACATATCACCTGACTCTTAAAACTGCCTCTTGAAGTATCCGTCTGTTATCTTCACTTTACACAGGGGTGAACACTCAGATCTGAAATGAGTAAGGAACAGGTCAAGCTCCCGCAGGGTGTGGAGGGCCACGGTCGGGGCAGCTGTCTCGTCTGAGTCACGCCCCCTCCAGCAGGCAGGTGCGGAGAAACAGGAGTGATTGTTCCCTCTGGTTCTGAGTGACTGAAGCCCAGAGCAGTGATGCGACTTGCTAATCCCTCTGCAGCCGGAGCGCACTGTCATTACCCTGCACCAAAGTCCGCCTCTTCTACAGCACTGGCACCAAAGCCTGCGAGATTCACTTCACCTCCTGTGTTAGGGGTCTCAGAAACCAGCTGCCATCTCGAGCAAATGAATTTAAACCCTCCTGGCAGGATATGAGCATGGTAATTCATCAACTGGAAACCAGGGATTTAAATGTCACTTAGGGAATTTAGCGAAGATCTGTGCTCAGTGTGGGAACAATTAGCTAAGGGGCTGAAAATAAATTCTCTGGTTGCTCAGGAATGGGATAGCGACTTGTTACAGAGCCACACTTGGATATGAGGGCGAGCTGGCTTGAACATCTGCCACCCTGTTGGTTGTTGGGTGTGGTCCTGCAGGTGGGCTGAGCTGTGCCTTCTCCTCTCTCATGCCTCTCCCTGAGCACCTTCCTAATTCTACATGCCAGACCTCAGGACCCAGGAGTGGAAAACCCTTTTCCTATCAAGTAGGAAGCATCTCTTGGGGACAGAGCCCTCAGAAATCTGTTTGTAAGAACCAATATTATAGTTCTTTGACATGTTCCCAATAGTGACCGTGAACTAAGAGAATGAAACATAGATGAATTGAAATGGCTGAAACTTTCAGACTCTGGAGGTGGGAATTTAAAATGCTACAACCACGTTCTGGCCGGGTTGCTCAGCTGGTTAGAGCATCGTCTCGATATGACAAGGTTGCAGATTGAATCCCAGGTCAGGGCACATACAAGAATCAACCAATGAATGCATAAACAATTGGAACAACAAACTGATGTTCCCCTTTCTCTCTGCCCCTGTCCCTTTCTCTCTAAAAAGCAACTTTTAATAAAAACAAATAAATAAAATGGTACAATCACTTTGGAGAACTTTTTCTTTCCAAGTTAAAAACACACTTACACCCTGGCCAGTTTGATAAGTGGTTAGAGCATCGGCCCGTGGACCAGAGAGTCCCAGGTTCAGTTCCTGCTAAGGGCACGTACCTCGGTTGCAGTTTGTCCCCGGCTCTGGTTGAGATCGTGTGGGTGGCAGCTTGTAGATGTGTCCCTTTCACATCCATGTCTCTCTCTCTCTCTTCTCCCCTCTCTCCCTCCCGCTCTATCTGAAGATAAATGCAAAAATGTCCTCGGGTGAGGATTAAAAACACACACACTTACTTGCTCTGGCTGGTGTGGCACAGTGGTTAGAGTGAAGGATCGAAGGGTGGCAGGTTCAATTCCCGGTCAAGGGCATGTACCTGGGTTGCAGGTTCGATCCCTGGCCCTGGTTGGGGTGCATATGAGAGGCAATTAATCAATGTGTCTCTCTCACATGGATTTTTTTTCCCTCTATCCCCCTCCCTCCTGTCTACTCTATCTAAAAATCAATAAACAGCCCTGGCCGGTTTGGCTCAGCGGTTAGAGCGTCGGCCTGAGGTCCGGAGAGACCCGGGTTCGGTTCCCGCTAAGGGCACGTGCCTCGGTTGCAGTTTGTCCCCGGCCCTGGTTGGTCGTGCGGGTGGCAGCCACTCGATGTGTCCCTTTCACACCAATGTTTCTCTCTCTCTCTCTCTCTCTTCCTCTTTCTCCCTCCCACTCTATCTGTACAAAAAAATGGAAAAATGTCCTCAGGTGAGGATGAAAAAATAAATAAATAAAAATCAATAAACATAATATCCTCAGGTGAGGATTAACAAAACACACACACACACACACACACAACACCAACTGTCATGGACACAGACAACAGTGTGGTGGTGATGGTGGGGGGGGAGTTGAAGGGGGTAGAAGGGGGATAAATGATGGGGAAAAAAACCCGACTCTGTTACTTAACTATTTCACTCTTGGGTACTGACCAAGGGAAATGAAAGCATGTTCACAAAAGCACTTAGAAGGACAGTCACAGCAGCTCCACTCCTAATCGCTCCCCAAGCTGGACAGGCCTGGTGCCCGCCGGTGGGGACATGGATAAACCATGTGTGCTATGTGAGTAAAACAATACTAGGCAGTAGAAAGAGTAAACTACTCAAATAAGCAACAGTGTAGATGAATCTCGAAAGCATTTTGTTGAGCGAAAGAAGCTGTACATACCTAAGGAATCATTTAATTGACCCCAATAAGGTAAAGTTCTAGAACAGGCAGCACTCATCTGTGGTGATAGAAGCAGAACAGTAAGCACAGCTTTTGAGGAGAAGTACTGACAGGAAGGACAAACGAGGCCCTGTGACGGCTGCCCACGGCACGGCTCGGCCACATCTGCGGCTCCTGGCCCATAAGGAGCTGGTGGCCGCAGAAAGATGTAAACTTTCCCTCGATTTGACTTAGCCCATTTGCAACTGGTTTGGCTTCCAATTTCAGCAACCCAAGTTAATATTAACCCGCTCCAAAGGGTCAGGGAGGTGTTTAACCTGGTGGACTTGAACACACATCTCAAAGTCCAGAGCTCATTCGACTTCGGGAGGTAGCTCAAGCAAGGCGGATGACCGGGCGGCACAGCAGGGGCCGGGGGGGCCGGGGTGTCCTCCATCGTGGCGGGGCATTCCTTCCTGCCTGTGGAGCGACATCTGCTCTCCACGAAGCTGGGCCATGATTGCTCCGGACTGACCCATCTCTCTCTTCACCCAGACTAAGGAGGCACGTTGTTCAGCGGGCATCCTGTGGCCACCTGACTAAGACCAACATCTCCTGACAGCATCCTCCTGCAGCATCCCCGAGCCCGCCGGGGCTGCCCGTGGAGCCCAGTGTCAGCTCCGAGGCTGCAGGCCCCCTCTGCCTGTGGCCCACTGTGCCTCACTGAGAGTCGTTCTTGCAGGCTACAGCAGTGAAGACTGACATTAAAGTGTGTCACCTTGAAAGACAGGGTGTTCCTTAGCTCGGTGCAGGGATCAGATCAAAAGGTCCCCAGGAGGGGCCTTAGTTCAAACTTGAGAACCTAATATGAGCACTTCCTCGGTTCTACCACCAGCACCTATCAGCACTACCTGGTTGCTTCTCATTAGTGTGCAGGAGATGTCGTCAGAGAAGTGAGCCACAGAGATCGAGGAGCACGTGGAAGTTAGGAAGCGGCTGCAGGTTTGAGCTCAGGCGCTCACGTTCCCACGTCTGTGGTCTTCACGGCACACTGCGATGTCTCCTGGAAGGGAGGGGTGGGGTCGAGGATTGGACAATGGCTGTGGAAAGTCTGGGTCAGGGCACAGCAGCCAGGTGACATGAGAGCAGGCCCTTGAGGCTGACTGTGGAGGGGTGAAAATTGCTGTGGGAAAGGCATTTCCAGATCCCAGATTATGGCCAATTGGGAAGAATGTCTGAGGTAATGCTGCCATCTAGTGGCCAAACTTCGGGTAGCAATTACCCTCTATGCAAAGATGGAATGAGCCTTGAGAAGGGAAGGAACAACAAATCAGCAGGAAAGTTGTTAATTTTCCCTCCAAGTACAAATTCTAAAACACAGGCGTATCCCATTCCACGGCCTTGGAGCAGCCTGCAGTTTCCACACGCCACTGTATGGTGGCTGCAGGCCAGGATCCGATCCCAGCTCTGCTCATTACTGACAAAGGCTTGGGCAAGTTCGTTAATTCCATTTTCTCTTCTGAAAACTGGGGAAGATCATATCTACCCAGATGGCTGTTGTGAGGATCCAGTGAAATAGTGCATGCAATGTCCAGGCATAACGTAAACAACAAAGGCGAGTTGTTGCAATACTAGAGGTGTGGCAAGAGCTGGAACAGAAACACAGAGGGAAGGACCTGGACACATTAGACATTAACTAGTGGCCTTTGGTGAACCCCACAGATTGTTCTTGCGGGTTACTTTTTTTTCACATACAGTCTTATGTTTGCTTTTCCCAGTCTTCTGCCTACATTACCGAGTCATTTTCCACTCAAAAATATTAGTGGTTCCAAAAGACCCTGAATATCCAAAGCAATCTCGAGAGAGAACAAAGTTGGAGGTATCATGCTACCTGATATCAAAGTATGCTACAAGGCGATGTTAATCAAAACAGCATGGTCCTGGCATAAAAACAGACACAAAGATCAATGGAATAGAATAGAGAGCCCAGAAATAAACCCAGGCCTATATGGTCATTTGATCTATGACAAAGGGGGCAAGAATGTACAATAGGGTAAAGATGGTCTAATCTATAACTGATATTGGGGAAAACTGTACAGTCACATGCAAAACAATGAAACTGGACTACTTTCTTACACCATAATATACAAGAATAAACTCAAAATGAATTACAGACTTACATGCGAAACCTGAAACCAAAGCCCCTAGAAGTAAACACAGGCAGTAAACCCTATGACATCACTCTTAGCAACATTTACCTGGATATGTCTCCCCAGGCAAGGGAAACAAAAGATAAAATAACCAAATTGAACTACATCAAATTAAAAAGTTTTGCACAACACCCTCACCTGGCAGGGGAGACGCCGTGATCACGAAGGTGGTTTTCCCGGGGGAGACTTACCCACTGCACTCAGATGTGCTGACCCCTGCAATATCCCCAAATGTGGGGAACTTGGCTGCATAACCTGTGGTAGTGGGGGACTGAGTTCAGTTAGCGCTCTCCCCTGGGGAAAAAAAAGAAGAAAGTTTTGCACAACAAAGGAAACCATCAACACAACCAGAAGACAACCTACTGAATGGGAGAAGATATTTACCAATAATACATCTGATGTGGGGTTAATATCCTTAATATGTAAGGAATCCATACAACTTAACACCAAATAAAATAAAAACAATCCTGCCCTGGCCGGTTTTGGCTCAGCAGTTAGAGTGTCAGCCCATGGACCAAAGAGTTGTGGATTCAATTCTGGTCAAGGGCACGTACCTCAGTTGCAGTTCGGTTCCTGGCCCTGGTCAGGGTCATGAGGGAGACAACCAATCAATGTGTCTCTCTTACATCAATGTCTCTCTGTGAGTGTGTGTGTGTGTGTGTGTGTGTGTCTCCCTCCCACTCTGTTTGAAAATAAATGGAAAAATGTCCTTGGGGGAAGATTAAAAATAAATAAATAAACAAATAAATAAGAACAATCATATTAACAAATAAGCAGAAGATCTGAATAAACACTTCTCCAAAGAGGACATTCAGATGGCCAATAGACATCTGAGAAGATGATCAACATCGCTAATCATAAGAGAAATGCAAATTAAAATCACAAAGAGGTATCACCTCACACCTGTCAGAATGGCTGCCATCACCAAATCATCAAACTACAAGGATGCGGAGGAAAGGGCCCCCTGGGGCACTGCTGGTGGGAATGCAGACTGGGGGTGCAGCTACCGTGGAAAGCAATATGGAGCTACTTCAAAAATGTTTTAAAGAACTGCTGTGTGACCCGGCAGTTTCACTTCTGGGTGTACATCTGAAGAAACCCAAAACACTAATTTGAAAAGACATGCACCCCTATGTTCATTGCAACATTATTTACAATAGACAAAATATGGAAGCAACCTAAGGGTCCATCAATAGATGAGTGGATAAAGAAGTGGTGCGTACATACAACAGAATACTATTCAGCCATAAAAAGAATGGAGTCTTGCCATTTGCAACAACATGGATGGACATAGAGGTATCATGCTAAATGAAATAAGTCGGACAGAGAAAGACAAACACCATATGATTTCATGTATAGGTGGAATCTAGACAACAAAATAGCCCTGGCCAGTTTTCTCAGTGGTTAGAGCATCTACCCGAGGACCAAGGGGTTGTGGGTTCGATTCCTGGTCAAGGGCACATACCTGGGTTGCAGGTTTAACCCCGGCCCCAATTGGGGTCCAGTAGGTGGCAGCCAATTGATGTGTCTCTCTCACATCCATGTTTCTCTCTCTCTCTCCCTCCCTTCCACTCTGTCTAAAACATCGATGGGAAAATATCCTCAGGTGAGGATTAAATAAATAAATAAATAAATAAATACACAATCAAACAGAAAAAAGTCATAGACAGAGAAAAATTGATAGTTGCCAGATGGGAAGGGCATTGGGGGGAGGGGTGAAAGGTGAAGGGATTAAGACTACAAATTGCCAGTTATAAAAATAGTCACGAGATGGAAATTACTGTCATGTGTCAGATGGGTACTAGATTTATCGGGGTGATCATTTTGCACGTTACATAAATGTTTAATCACTATGTTGTATGCCTGAAACTGATACGTATGTCAACTGTAATTGAAAAATAAGTAAGAAATGAATTTAAAAAATGTATTTTGAAGATTGTTCAGTAGAGACACTAGACGTCCTGTCACGCACTCCCCGCGAGGCGTCCAGCGGTGCTCGCTACTCACCCCTCAAGCCTCCTCAGGGGGCCTTTGTTTGATAACACTTGAAGTGAAGAAAAATAATGTGAATATTTAAAAAATATGAGTGGTTCTTTCTGCCTCCCACATTCATCTCTGTCAGGCCAGGAGGCCCCACACAGCACACCCCTCAGCCGCCCTGGCTGGGTCCCCTCTGCTGTCAGCCAGCCAGCTCCCAGGAGGCGGCTGCTCCCCCCACCCCCCCCCCCCCAGGCCGTACACTTGACACACAGGGGCTTTTTAATCCTCCACAGGAAACCATCACTCTCTCCGTCTCACCGTCTTGGACAGACTGGGAAAACACAGGTTTGGAAGCAAATAAGCCACGCTTTTATTTTGAAGTTTCAGTTTATAATGAACTTCGGTTAAATTGGAAGTAACTTTGCAAAGCACAGAAAAGTTCATTTCCCAATTAACCTTGCTCTGGTTGGTTGCTCATTTACTTCCAAAGCGGAATATTGTTCCCATTAAAAGATTAACTTTTAGCCTTGAACCTGCCCTGCGCGTGGGCGGTGGGTAGTGACTTCTGTCTCCTGCCACATTCAGCCGCTTCCTGCAGCCAGACTTCGGGGGCTGCCAGACACCGCCGTCCTGGGTCCGGGGGACACTGACATAAGGTTCGTGGCTGGGCGTCGGTGGGCTGAGAACCGAGGGGGAGAGGTAGTGGCCGGTGGGGTGAGATCAGAGGCCGGAGACTGCGTGAGGCATTGTGGCCACTAACTGGGAATTTACAAGGCGGCAAAAGGGGTCATTTTGCACGTTACATAAAGGACATGGAGGGACAAAGGAAGCGTCACTTTAAAGACACTCCAGCCCTGGCCGGTTTGGCTCAGCGGTTAGAGTGTCGGCCTGCGGTCCTGAGAGACCGGGGTTCGGTTCCCGCTAAGGGCGCGTACCTTGGTTGCAGTTTGTCCCCGGCCCTGGTCGGTTGTGCGGGTGGCAGCCACTCGATGTGTTCCTTTCACATCGATGTTTCTCTCTCTCTCTGTTCCTCTCTCTCCCTCCCACTCTACCTGAACAAAAAATGGAAAAATGTCCTCGGGTGAGGATAAAAAAAATAATAATAAATAAAGACACTCCAGACAGAGGAGGTTACCTTTAGTTAAGTCAAGTAGTAGAACCACCTGGTAGAATACTGACCCTTAGGAGGGTCAAAATCTGCTCACTTGCCCTGGCCAGTTTGGCTCAGCGGTTAGAGCGTCAGCCTGCGGTCCGGAGAGACCCGGGTTCGGTTCCCGCTGAGGGCACGTACTTCGGTTGCAGTTTGTCCCCAGCCCTGGTTGGTCGTGCGAGTGGCAGCCACTCGATGTGTCCCTTCGCGTCGATGTTTCTCTCTCTCTCTCCCTCCCACTCTATCTGTACAAAATAAAATGGAAAAATATCCTCGGGTGAGGATAAAAAAAAAAAAAAAAAAATCTGCTCACTTGAAGGTTCTGGAAAATCTGAATGGTACAGCCCCTGCCCTCAGGGATGTACTTTAAACCTTGACCACTGCTCCCGACCATGGGCAGAGGAAAACAGTGGCCTGACGGCTGCTTCTGAAAGGCGGAGGGCCCGGGCCGGGTGGCACAGCTGGTTAGAGCCGGCGTCCCAATACCCAAGGTTGAGGGTCTGACCCACAATCAGGGCATATACGAGAATCAACCAGTGAATGCATGAATCAGTGGAGCAACAAGTAGATCTCCTAAATAAATAAATAAAAAGTAAAAGGCAGAGAAGCTAACGTTTTGCAAATACTTAAACAGGGGTCGTTTCTTTGGGGAATAAGCTTGTTTGGAACTAGGGACAATTTCTTCTGATGCAGAGTGTCTCAGGTCACGTTGAATCTATAGGTCAAGCTCTGGAGAACCACCCAAGAACAATGATCAAGTCAGGGTGCCGTTGGTCCTGTCGACAGAAGAATGTCCAACCTTTTAGAGAATTCTTACAAAAATGCATTTGAGCCAAACAGAGGATACGCCTGGAAACCAGGTCTCAGTAGACAGAAAACTGCTTCTCGGAATGACAGTCGGCAGCTTATTCTGCGCACTTGGAATTAAGGAGGAAAATGTAAGGAAGGTGACATGAAGGTGGGAGAAAGCAATGCGGGGATCAGAATACAGTTAACAACACTATCCGCTTACTTCTGAAAGGAGGCATTTCCAAGGTGTGTTCACCCGGGCACACAGAAACAATGGACAGGGCTAGCTTAAGGCAAAGATAAACTTTATACTAAAGAAGTTATATGCCTCAGGCATGACTACCCATATGACCTGCCCCGTTAGGAATTTATGATCAGGTCACCCTGTGAGGTTAATTTCTATAGAACCCCTTTTTCACCCACACTATGAAGATAGATAAATGGATCGATAAAACATAACATAGAGTTTAGAAATTAGATCAAAAGAGAAATTTTTTTTGTGATCTGCCTCCTAGCAAGAAGCAAAACTCCCAAAATCTTTACTCTTGATTGATTTTAGAGAGAGAGGGAGGGAGAGGGAGGGAGAGAGAGATCGGCATGAGAGAGAAACATCAACTGGCTGCCTCCAACACAACCCCTACTGGAGATAAATCCTGCATCTTGGTCATGTGCCCTGAGACTTGAACCAGTGACCTCTTGGTATATGAGGTGACACTTAACCAACTGAGCCACACTGGCCAGGGCCAAAGTCTTTACTCTTAATCCCTAGGCTATTCTGTATTTTCCAAGATTCTTTGAATTCATGTTCTCATTTTATAGATAGCTGAGAGCTGGAGCTTGTCTAGACTGTGTGTTGTAGAATATCATCTGTGGGAGAACATTTAAGAGATGATGGAAATATCCCCAGATTCCCACATAATTCCCCAGAAAAGGATTCCTGTTACACTCTACGTCATAGCAACTAACAGAGAATGTGCTATTGAAATCTGTCTTCCCCTTTGACTCCAAGTTTCTTGAGAGCAGATACTGATATCATACGCTTTGGGTTTTTTATCCAGGGCCTAGATGTATTAGACAGGGTGGGTGTCGCTGTACCGTAGTAAAGATTAAACCACGAAATCTTAGTGAGTTAACACACAAAGCTTCTCTCTTGCTCACGCAAAGTCAGCCGCACGCCAGGGCTGCTCCTTTCCACACGGTGGCTCAGGGGCCCAAGCCGCCTTCCTCTAGAGCTAGGCCTCCTCGCGGACAAGGCCTCCAGGTCACTGCCGCGGGGGTGGGACAGAAGATGTCACATGTCAGCTCCAAATTCTCGGCCCGGAATTAATATGTCACTTCCACTCCTTGCTTGTGACCAGAACTAATCATATAATCCTGC